TGGTGTGGATTGGGGAGGGGGGGTGAGGGCTGAACGAACTTTAAAAAATAATAAAAAGGAAGAAAGGAAGAAAAGAAAAAGAAAAAGACAAAGACAAGGAAAACAACAACCATTATATGAACAGCTGCCGCGGACGAGAGAAAGAGGCAGAGGAGATGACGGTATTGATAAAACGCTGAATCGAAACACACGTTGAGGTGAACCAATATCCAGCCCGATATTATGCACGTCGTGAAATGAACCGAGCGTCCCCCCCCTCCCGTAGCGACGTTACGATTATTTCATTACAAGAAAAAAAGGTGGTGGGGATATGAATGAGAACGTTGGGATGAAAAAAAAAAAAAAAAGAAGAACGAAGAACTTGTTGATTCAGTCGGGGACGATCAAAATTTTCTTCATGGTAAATTATGGAGCAAACGTTACCGATTTGGCACATTCGACCGAATTCAACTCGGGACTTTGAAAAGCAGACTTAGACGATATGCCACAACAGTGTTTTAATGCAAATATAGCATGCTGTGGCATATTCCCTCCTTGTGGGCACTCATTTCCTGTTTATTTCTGTTTCTCGACGATTTGCTGACGAAATGTTGGGTCTAACCTGGAAAAAGAACCATTATAAATTGACTCTAACCCCTATCAGCGTGATGTCCAAATTCGAAACGGCCTACTTGCAGTAAGTGGGTTGTTGAACTCCTACTAAGAAAACAAAACCTTAATGTTCCGCACTCGGAGTATGTACAGGCACACTCACAGGATTCTCAGATGTTGTTTTTTTTAATTTACGTTTTTCAAGAATGTCTTTCAATTGTTGACGGGAACATTGGGCGACAGGCTCCTCGTCGTTAACGCATTGAGACTGCACATTCCAGTCATGACATTGCTTGAAAATGCAGTTTGGGGGCATCCTAAAATACAAATAATAAATAATAAATGGCATTTGTATAGCGCATACCTCCGCTCCACTGCAAAATCTGTCTGTTTTACTCTAAATTATTACCCCAGAAGACCATATACGTTCAGAAATCCTCAGATCCCCGGAAGCATACAGTGCAAGCGCTCAAACTCTAACAAACTGACAAGATCTTTTGCTATCTATAGCTGGGTACCCTTTCCCACCTGGGTGAAGTGAGGAAAACTCGTGTTAAGTGCCTTTCCCAAGGACACAACGCCGGGTCCCTGACGGGATTCCAACCAACGACCTTACGGTTGCGAGTCTGAGAGCCTAGCCACTAGGCCAAGGACGCCACACATATCAAAAGAAACTTAAATTCACACAAATTCATATGTTCTGTGTTTTTTAGATAGGTCTTTATAATTCTGAGGTAACTAAACGCCAACAAGACCGAAGTCAAGCATGTTAACCCGCCAATTTGTCAAGGACTTGGACAGGTAAGATTAATTAGAACGCTCCTGAAAACCGTAACTAATTTAATATATTTGGGCTCAGTTAACGTATCTGATGGGACATGCGTTAAGCACGTCAGATTTTAATAGGCATGGCAATGGTAGAAGATGGTACAACTAAATACCTGGACAGAAAAGGGAGTACAATATAATAATATAGAACTCAAAATTAGAATTTTGAAATGTCTGATGTGGCAAGTAGCTCTATATGGGAGTGAAACCTGGACATTAAAAAAGAAGAGAAAATAAACTCAGAATCCACGAAGACAAGATTTGATTTCTAATACACTTCGATTTAGATAGACTGAAGAACGAATAAAGTTGTCCTGGAAGACCGTATTATACATAGCGAACTTCTCTCTGGGGTCAGATAAAAAGGACTTGAATACTCTAGTCATGAAGTCAGAAACAGAAAACGCAGATCAGGTGACAAATTATGCACTATTATTGGGTAAAGCAGAGACGAAAAGAAAGAAATAAGGGAAAACCTCCTACAACACACATTGACAATGTAAAATCCGACAATGGTCTGCAAACTAAAAGAAGCATTTCCTTAAGTCAGAGACAGGGACAGATGGAAGTTTGTGTTGTGCAAGGAAGGGGGGGGGTCAACGAACAAAGGTTGCTATGGTTATATAATTTGACAAGTGATATTTTTATGAGCTCATGGCTTCTTTCAATGACAGAATAAAATGGTCGGCACCGCTCGCTCATTGCAAGCAATATTTGGAAATTAAGTAGACATCAGGACTAAACCCAACCAAAAAAAATAAGTAGTTGCATACGCCTTCTAAACTAAGGAAGTCTTAAGAAAGAAAAATTTATTTTGATGCGTCGAAAGAAAAATTCTGTTTAAAAAAACACACCGAATAAAAAAAAACCCACGAACATTGCTCTTTTTGGTCAGGAACAAAATAAAAGTATTTAATACAATCATAAGATTTTGACTGGGTACAGTTTTCCCAAATCAGCAGTTACAAACAAGTTCTGTAAACGTGTTAACTGCAAGTGCTTTTAGATGGTGAAATCTAATCTTTACCGAGGAAATAGGAATGCTAGTATAGTTTTGTGTCATTAGTTATTCCTGTCTGTGTTCAAGTTATCTAGATCTAAGTCTCATATTTTAAAATTAATTCAGGCACAATCACGCGCGCACGCACACACACACACACACACACACACACACACACACACACACACACACACACACACACACACACACACAAATGCACACAGAGACATAAACAGAAACACATACACACAAATATACACACACGCACGCACACAGACGCACACACACACACACACACACACACACACACACACACACACACACACACCAGACCCCACCCTTCAAGACACACGGTTGATGCGGAAAAGAGATATGAGATGGAATGCGACTCAATTTGAAATCCAAATTAAATAGATTTCAAATTAATAGATTCAATAAATCTAAATTATATCTCAAGCATATTCAACATTAGGTCAGTATTTGTGCCTTGGGTGAGATTTAAGTTTCGTGTGATTTCAGTCCACAGAATGCTGAAGGCCACTTTTAAGTCCCGAGATAAACCTTGACATCGCTACAAAGACTACTGAACGCGATCACTGTGAAAGACATAACGTATGCACAAACTTGTTAATAGGCCTACATTCCTAATTGTGTTCACGGAATATTTTCTTTTACGCATGACCTTTGGATGTTACATAAATCTAATCTTCTTCATAAAACTAGAGGATGGTTGGATATTTCGCAAAAGAAGTGAAAAACTCTTCCCTGGAAAAGGCACTTTTCTGACATAACTCGTGTTGTTTTACTGGATTAGTTATGGGCGTTGGCCAATCTATAGAAGACCACTATGACACTCTGAATAAACGAATAAAACGCTATGCTGAATGCACACCAAACAAGGAGTTGTTTATATTCCGTGATGGGGACAAACGAGAGGCGATAACGGCTCGCGATTGGCTGGAGCTAAGCGGGAGATTTTCTGCGAAATTAAAACGGCAAGGATTTCTCCATAATGACGTCATTGCCAATACTTTGCCCAATTCTCCAGAGCGGTTGATCACAGACACGGCCACCATACTAGCAGGATGTGTCAGCCTGAACGGACAAGTAAGTCCACTCTGACCGATATGTTCGTCTTACTGTTAATGTTAGAATTCCAACCAACGACCTTACGGTTGCGAGTCTGAGAGCCTAGCCACTAGGCCAAGGATGCCACACATATCAAAAGAAACTTAAATTCACACAAATTCATATGTTCTGTGTTTTTTAGATAGATCTTTATAATTCTGAGGTAACTAAACGCCAA